GATTCACTATGAATGTAGGCCGCACCCCCTAGCGGCAGAAGCTCGTACTACATCCGGTTCGCCCTTTATTGACACAGTCTTAAAACTTTCCGATCGCACCTCGTACTCTACACATTCTAAGTCTGTTCACATTAAGCGTTTCTAGAAAAGAAACAGAAATATATGTCTATTTACTTTCCTTCAAACGTAACATTACTAAATATAATCTTAAAGATACGTTGTGGGAGGTACAGCACTGGTTCTCAGGGACGTTCTAATGAATGAGTGACTTGCAATGCTACGTTTGAACAAATCATTACCTATCGTTTTAGTTTAAATTACAACGGAATGACTAATATTACAAGCAGTAGCGAACGTTGCAGCAGGCGCTAACACTCCTGCTTTACACTCAAGAGGTTACGGGTTTGGAACACAGAGCTCCGGCCTACTTTACACATTACAACAACTTAGTAACGATTTCGGCTACTAGCCAGACCACCCGGTTAACTTCAGTGTGCTTGAAATTCATAATTTATGACCATTTTAATACCCAGCTTTATGTAATCTATGAAACAGACTAATATATTTTAAATAGCCCAGAAATAAATCATACGAGGCAGTGCGTGGTGAATATTCTTTTGCGATGTGCTTTTGTGCCGGACTTCTGAATTACGTTATATCTACTAGGGACTATGAAACGAGCGTCTGAAGCAATTTTAGCAAGCAGAGAACCTGAAGCCCTTGAACACAGACGAGTATTTGAGCGTCAAACTATCCAGCCTATCGGAACGGCAGCAATAGTCAGCTGTATGTAACGTGGAGTGAACTGCCTTGTAGCTAAGCAATGCAGCATGGGGAGTTTCACGTTAACCGTAAGTAAGCTTCAACTTTCATTTTCATTAAAGTGTTTCAAAATGTAGTGTCTCATCGGTTCAACCACAGGCTGGTATTATAGTAGCTGGGAAAAACTTATAAAAGTCAGAATGCCAACGTGCTAATAATCGAAATATTAAATATTAACCCTTTAAATTCGTATATCTTGCACAATATAAATAATTAAAACTACTTTAAAAATAGTGCTGAGAAAAATATCACCGCTATAAACCCAGAAGAGATCGCTACTTTACTTTTCACGTTACCTGCAATTTAGCAAAATTTAACACTTAAGGTAAGGTCTATATATTTCAGTCATAATAGTATTTCTGTTAAAATCGGTATTTGTGATATGTGAGGACTTCCTGAAAGTTGTTCTCATTCCTTGTAGACTCACTTTCTATGCCAATTATTGTATTAATCTGAGACGCACAACTACAGATTGAAAAAACTTGCGAGGCCTAACAAATTTTGTAATATTATAGTTGTATGTGACTGATTAATAGAATTTCTGGTTTACTGAAAACACACACAGAGATGCTTCAGTATAAAGTTGTCTTTCAGAGCTTATATCCCTTATTCTGTTGCCAGCCATAAGAGCTACAAAGCAAATAATTTAAGATGTTAATGAAGAGCTTTGCATGCCACGCCTACAAAATTAAAAACAAGGCAATTACTTCGTACCAGTCATGCAAGGCGAATCGGGGAGGAATATAAACCTACATAATGCTGGTAGGGAAACTGGAAAGCAGTTTTTTGGGAAACAAAGAAGGAGACGGGGAAATACAATTAAGGCTGACATAGGGTAAACAATTTATGAAATTATAAAGGCGAAAATAGAATGCAATCAAATATACAGGCCAAGATACTCACACATATAGATACACATATTTTTCAAATTCCTCTACGAAGCTTATGGAATTAATAAGTTTTAGAGCAGGATATGTAGATTTATTAGAACCCAATCCAGTGTTTTCCAACTAGATCTTTCACTGGAAGCGTGCTACATAAGGGAAATAACAAAAAAACTGAGTGACGATAAAGTTGTTTGTCAAAATTAGTTACCTTGTATCAGAAAACACATCTCGTTAACATCTAAAATATTTCGCAGTAAATGTTACTATGAGCAACGTATAGCTTAATGAAGAACGTCAGATCAGAAAGTAGGACACGTATTGCTAATGAACACCTGAATGCTTGCAGATGGTAACAACAGAGATATTTAAAGATAATTCCAGCACGACCAGTGGTAAATATGTCGCTAATGACTGATTTATAAAATACAATTGCTGAGAAAGTAAACAAATGTGTTAGCAAGTTAGTAGCATTGGTTATCAACTATCATGAAGTTACGACACATTATCCTAATTTATAACCTTGCGGCCCGCGAGTCTATGAGCAAGTGTGAATAGGGCTCTAGGTCCGGAAAAGGCTGAAGACCCTTGCTCTGAACTATGTGGTGTGACATGTTGACCCTGACTATCTGTGGTTCACGCACTGTATTTTAAAAGAAAAGTAACCATACCAGATCGATACATCGTAAGGCACAGTGTCCGCTAATAATATTCTCTAGGTTTCCAGTAATTACAATCTATTCTTACACGTGTTCAAAGCATTCCTCCAATTCCAAAACATACTTTGGATGACGCACGGATCTTCTACTAAGTGAATCTGGTATTTATTCCCGTTCAAATTATGTTGGTCTGTGATATACGGAATACTTGTAAATGATCAGTTACAGAGTCGGACGGACGAGTCAGAGACCTTTGTGAAAGTAAGTTGAATGTTATAACCAGCAAAACGGCATATTACGTAACGACGCAGGTCTACACCCTCCTCAGTAACCAACCTAGCGCAGCGGTTCTCAACCTGTCTTTGAGGACCTCAGCTTTAAGTCTCACTTTCTATGGCACAAAGAATAAAATTCTATAGTCTAAATATTACTAGTAAGTTAAAAATGTGTTTTTACAATATCTGAATGGAACTAAAGATTTTATATTCTACTAAATCGAAAATATAATAATATGGGCTGATCATTTTCCATCAATAATCATGCATGACGAAAGAAAAACACTTGGATGTAATATAAAAACAAAGACATTATAATAATCGATAACGTAACATATGATGGACACCATTTTCAAATACACATAGACACCGAATAAAGAAATTCGACAGAATAGAAAGAGAGCGCCTTCCGGGGCTCTTTAAAATTTACAAACCGTTTAGGACAAGGAACCGTGGAGAACTTTCTGACCCGAAACAGGTCAACAAGTGACCTAAGTCCCTGACATGTAAATGATGATGTGATGGCAATGAATTATGTACAATTGCCTAGAGAAATAATTGGCCAGAAATATCTCGTTGGCAGGCAACGGACAGGAAAGTAATATTAATGTTCTTACGTAAAGAGTGTGTATGTTTCTCTTCTCACGGTAAATTCTACTCATAGCAGTGAGTCCCTTAAACACGATTCATGAAACTTTTTAATGATTACCAAAAGCAAAGATCCTTAGTTTGTGCATATAGACGTTCTATATATCCACAACGAGGAAATTGTTTACTAGAAATGGGAAGACAGTGACGGATAAAAACGGTGAGGGATCTTAAAAATACGATGTACGTGTGTGAATTGCATTTCTCCAAAATATTTTTAAACACAATTTAAAATAAGGAGATATTAGCGATTACGTGGATTTTGGAAATTAATTATTTGCTATTTTTCAGGTTCTGACAGATTTTAATGTCAGTCTTCTGAGAAACTAACTAGAGTATCCGGCCTATAACTTTCCGTGACAAAACTGAACTTCTTCCGGGTCAGATTTGTTGATGCATTTCTGAAAACTACAGTCCTAATAAAATAATGCTTGCCTTTACTTGCAGATTCTGCTGAGTATCCTTGTATTAGCAGTCGTATTGCTAAATATTGCCACTTCTGAAGTAGTTGTTATCAAAATTCGGTAAGTGTATCTAGTACAATTGTAATTATATTAATGAATTCAAAATAATTAAAAGAGACAAATCACTAGTTGAGATCATTCAAGTAGTGGCAGTAACAGGCTGGTGTCATGACGTACTATAATCACCAACGCTTTATAATTGACCTATGAAGTCAACGATTGCATTTTGTGGAGTGGATATATGTCCTCTTTCGAGTAGACACATTCCAAAGGTGTCCTTACCACACATTTCATGCAAATAATTTTTAATATTATCTACACTTTACCTCAACAAGATCGACAACGTTATTAAGGCTAATGATACAATCAAGGGTCATGACGTCATCACGCATGTGCTGACGATTATGGGTAATGGCGTTATTCACGTACCATTTCGCGACTTTTAGCATCGGACTAGACAGCAGAACAAAGTGACATTTTTTTAAAAAATCAAAATTGAATACAGCAGTATCAATCTAATTTAAACTCTGTCTTTGGGTCCGATTGTCTCAAAATCAGAGTTTTGTAACCCATATTATTTTTAAAAATAGGTTTACTGCAAGCATTGCACATACAACGATACCAAACAATGAAATCTGTTCTGCTTCTGACAGTAAATCTTAATGTTAACAATGCACAATTTTTAGCATCGTATTTATTGAAGAAAATACATGGGAGAGATGTTACTATGTGTTTCTATATAGAGTAATGGATTTTATATGTACTAAATGAACATCAAACGCAATGACGTATGCAAGCTTGTAAATATGTTTGTTCCAAACTAGAGAACACTATTTCACTATTGGTGGTTTTGAATGGATATCTACGAATAAAGATTTTTTGCAATAAATAAAGCATTTTAAGCTGCAGTCAAATAAGTCCGGCATAAATATGGGCATGTCATAAATAGCTCTAAGTCATATAAAATGAGAAATCAAAACAATCTTCTGAAATTCCTTACAGATCAAGTTTAATTTTTTTTTTTTTACAACAACCAATACACGATGAGCTACGCAATTTAGTCATTAGCTTAAAACTGATGTTCTAGCTTTACTAAATCATGGATAATAGGAAATATATACAATACAGAAGTCACATTTTGGGTTTCCTATACGCTTCTTAGCCCTGACATAAAATAAAAGACTGCTAACATTGCCAACAGACAAGTGACACAGAATACAATATAACAAACACAAAAATGTCGAACTTTGTATGATAAATGCAGTCACTACATCTGTTATTATATACACACACTAATAAAATCATAACAGCTACGAATTTTACATTTGTACCATTGTTATGTCTTTTATGTTATATCGTCCAATTATTTTCATTGACTTTTAGGTATTGTTCTGCAAATTACTAATTAATTCTCATCCTGTTTACAGAGACAGAGTGAAGATACAAAGAGGGCACCACTAGTAGCAGAATTTCGTGGCATCGTATGCAAATTTCACATCTGAGGCCACTCAGCTGTGGAAAATACAGCTCTCAGCCCTATTGTATTTCTAATGGATTTCCAGCTACTTAAACTGAAGCTTGTGTAAACTGCAAAATAACTGAATGCATATAACATCATAAGCTAAACATGAAGCTGAGTTACAATGTTTAACTAATTTAAAAACAGTCTTGCTCAGAAACTGATCAATAAAAATATACATCCTACTGCTGTTAAATTCCAATTTATTGGTACTTAACATTTATACATAAACACGTGTGAAAAACCCTTGTGTTGCTACATTATCTCAGATGTAAAAATAACATCAGTAAACACATCAACTCTAAATTAACTCTAGTGACATTCGCAAGACATTACATCAACGATAGAGAAGAACATGTTTCAGTTACGTGGTTTCTCGGTATCAGATATGTCTGTAGCTAAACCCGAAGCAGAAAGTAAAAAATTACGTTTCGGGTGATGGGAAATGTGGGTTTTGGTTCCTGAAAAATAAGAAGTCAAGATATTAAATTTAAATAAATATTTAAAGAAATCAAAATTTTGAATGGGATCTTCTGCATGTAAAATCTCTTTTCTAGTCGAAAAACGAAAGCGTGCCTCAGAATTTGTGGACACTTGTTATGAACACACAGGACAGAGCTCGAAAATGTCATTGTTATGGTAAGGGCCAAAAGTTGTACTTACACATCTACCAGTGTCTGAATTACAAGTTATGGTGTTACATGAAGCAAACTACTTCCTAAATATTATCCATCGTCCCATATTTAATAAAACACGACATTTCGCGGACTGGGATCTATCTCCGTCTTCAGGTAAAAACCTTTTCTGTTCGGCACAATCGGTAGAGCTAGTCCCTACATATGCTGACAAGAAGACGGTCATGTACCAGCTTTAAGTTAATAGTGTAGCTTTTATGCCAAGAATGCATTACAAGAATCACTGGCATATGCTCATGGCGGCAAAATACTTGCACATTAGAATTGCATGGCTGCTCTGAAACGTCATCAGATGAAAGTCAGTATCATCACCCTGATGATGGAGGCAGTACGAACCTCTGTAACATCGATAAATATCTACTACATTGTGCAACATCCCGGAAGAGTCATCTTCAAAGTCGATAGACCTTACTAACTGGACTACATGAAGGCTACTAACTATAAATACTAAGTTGATAGAAAGTTTCGTAAACATTTAAAAAATTGTTAATTAAATTTTCAGATATTTTGAGTAATTTATGTACATGTCGCAGTACGTCAGTCCCGACACGTAACAATCTGATGTTACCGAAACATCTCAATTACCCATCGCCTCGGTCCCAGTTGCAAGGAAGTTGGACTCTGCGCTCTTTATGCAAACATTGACAGCCGTTTGCTGTATTTTTACCTCAGCAAACACAAGATCTGTATTATCTCAAAACAGTATTAGCATAAGCCGTGTTCTGGTGCACATTCATCACACAACTCGCACTCATACTGTTTGATGGCGTCACTTCACTATCTATCAGCGGTTCATGAATCAATATAATATCGAAATTAAGTTGTCATTGACATACGCGGTCAAAGTATGTGTGAAACTACACATGTTTTACCATATTTTATTTATTTAGAAAGGAAATTATGCCTATTATATCATTATATCGGTACCGCTGTTTAGGAAAATAATCGCTGCTTATAATGAGAATCATAATCTGTGGACAATTGTAAGTTATCGAATGTTGATGTAAATGGAACACAGGCACACAGTAGCGACTGAGTTTTCAAAAGATAATGGTGGGATTGTTGCTTCTAACCTAACATATCTGAAATTTGAAAGTGAAGACAAACACGAAGGCAAGAAAGCTGAGTCGGAAGTGAAGAGTGAACAATTTGAGAAAGTTGATAACTCATAGCAACACGTGTTCCCCATATTACATCAAATTCAGAAAACTAGTCGCCACGCATGTTGCGTCACACTTGCCAAAAGAGTGCACTGCTTTCAAGCGCGTCCTTTAATGAAAGGTCGAGGATAAGAGTGACGGCGTAACCTTTCGCACCGCATAACCCTCTTCCCATTGCTTATCCTTGACTTTAATTTATTTCCATCTTATTCATAACTTCCCTTTCCTTTCCACTCCTTAATTTTCCATCCATTCTCTCTTTCCACTTCGTTTAACTTCCTCCTCTTAAAGTGATTTTCCTCCTCTTCTCTAATATTTGCCCTCGCTTTGTCCTCTTTTCTTTCAAATGCCTACTGTTTTCTTTCATTTCGTCTTCCTCATTTTTGCTTTCATTTCTTTCCTCGAGCTTGTCATTTAACTTTTCTTTATTTTATTCTATGTCCTTTTATGCCTTTCTTCCCTTCGCTTCGCTTCTCTTCCTATTTCGTTTGTTTCACGACCTTTCTCTTTCTTCATTCTTTAACCATCTACTCTTTTCATTTCCCTTCTTTATCGTTTTCCTTCCACTTGAGTTTCTTTGTTTTTATTTTCGGTATAGTTGTTCAGATACAATTATCCTATAGAAACTGAGAAAAATTACGAAATGTTTCAGTCAAGCAGACGGTTTACTGGCCGAGATTCAAACCCGGAACCTCGAAATGCGAAGTAGATACTAACTAATCGGCTATGGCGTTTGGCCATTACGAGAAGCAGGAAAACAAAAGAAGATGGAGACGAAGGACAATCAGCAGTTGGACACAGTGTTGACAGATTCATTAGTTTCTGAAATTCCTTGTGTCGTGCTTATGGCCTGCATTGTTTAACATTCTTTACACCGTCGTGTCTGAATATCAGAAAGATCGTGAAGAGGTTCTTCAGGCAGGACAAACGCGCTCCTGGCTGCATTCTCATTTTCACGAGTTCATTGTCAAACAAACACGAATATTTAGTACAAATTTCAGCACGGAATAATGTTTATAGATTCTGAAGGGTTCTGACGACGGCACAATACAACCTGGGCTGCTAAGTTTTTGGATCTTGTCCATCGTATGTTACTAAACGCACAACGGTTCAACAACTGGATCTGTCCTCGTCTACAGATGTAATGAAGTTGTTAGTGACTGGATTTGCTCATTCTAGCGGACTCCACAGAGTAGGTACCTCCGTCACTACATCTGAAGACGAGGAAACATCCAGCTCTCAAAACTTTGTGTTTTCTGTAACATCAGACGATGGAAAAGGCACAGAAGCCAACAATTCGAAATATTATTAATAAGTATTCTTTTGGAAAAGTAATAATTTATAGTATTGTCTCTGTAAACGCTCTTCTTACAAGAACCATTTATATAAATATCTTATGAATTATGAAACAAAAAATTACTACCGCCCAATAATAAAAAAAAAGTCAATGCAATAGCTGACCCCTTGACATCACGACATCGCTCGTCCTCAAGTTGCGTATGCAGGAAACGACTTCCATATAATTGGGGTAAATAGCTGCATATGTGCTAAATAATCAGCAGCGGAACGACGATAAGACTAAATTTTACGACCACATTAAGACAAGTATTCATTTTAGAAATACTTGTCAGAAACTGTTAACACCTCTTTTACTTTCCAAAACGCTGAATATCAGTATACAATAACACTGCCAGTTCTGCTGTATGGGTGTGAAACGTGGTATCATAACATCTGCACTAGCTCCGCCAACTCGGGCTTCTGATGATTTTCCTGAGCAGTTGATAGTTATTGAGATTATTAGCAGTACTCCTGTTACGCACCAGCAGATTCATCACTGTGTTCACAAGCAGGACAAATTCTGTTACTTCTCTCACATATTCATAATGTATGTTTGTGCAAGACGACATTATCTTCCCACCTATACTTACACTGTCCATAGGTACAGTCTCTTAAAAAAAATTATTCTAAGATCCATAACGATGCTAGGTGAAGGTTATAAATTATATTAATCCTATTAGGCTATATACAGTTTATACGAATTTTCCTCACATACCTATGAACAAATTTTAAAGATGAATATCGAGTAGAACTGCTAGTCTTTTCAAGTCCCAAGCAATACGAGGAAAAAAGTCTTAATCTTAATTATTTTCTGTTACAGTCCTCAGGGGACGAAACATAGTAATCACACAAAATGAATTTCTTTTCTTAAAATTGTTTCCCTAATTGAGTCACAATTTTTAACCGACACAATGAAAAATGGGTCAGGACAAATTACAGGGGTATAACATTGTATCAGCACACGCAGGAAAAATGTTTCTAGGTTTCACTAATAAATGAGTAATATTCTCAAGGCTTCAAGCACAATTTTGTTGGCGGATGAAATTTTTCCTTGAATTTCATAGTAGAAAGTGCGTCTTCGTGGCTAGCAATGATGCCAATTGAGAAGCGAAATCGCCTGCTTCTATTACTAATAACCATCCACGGATGTGTGTTACATCTAAACCAATGACTGAAATTCCAGCACGCACGAAGAGAAATGATTCGGTTGCCGTCGCTAAGGTGGAACAAATTCAGCAAACCCAAACATGAACTAAAATTTCAACGAAGGCAACGGTTTGGTGCAAAAATTATGTTTCTTTGTTTTGATAAAAATGTGGGAAACATGTAAATGCTGGAAAACACTTTTAATTTTGTTAAAACTGTATTTATAGATAGAAGAAATGACTGGAAGCCAATTTATCCTGTGCTATGTGTGGCGCAACAGTGTCTCATCAGATAGTGACATCCACTGTCAATGATTTGCCTTCTTTTATAAATCCCAAAAAAGTGTTCATATTTCCTCTCTACTGGACCTTATTCTGAAACAGACGATTGAAGATGACATCTGCACAGTTTATTTCTTCAAGCTCTATTCACTGATAGCTTTTTGAACAAAAAATATACATTTCTCGTTTATCTTTATGAACTAACTGACCATAATGTCTTTTCCTCCACAGTTTACTCACACTAATAAACCTAACATAAAGCGAAAATTACAAATGGTAGTCGCGTAGGTAGTCACGATATTCTCATCTTTCATAAAACCCGAAGGTTCAGTATCGTGTTAGAGGAACCCAGCTATTCAACCTCATATTTAAGCAACTGAATACAGTTAACGTGTTCATATTCGTCTTTTTTTCTAAAATATACTGTTCTACTGCATAGTCATGGTTCTATCTGCATTTAAGTTTCTCACCTGGTTTCCTGCCTTAAAATTTGTTGTTAAAAAATGTACGAATTCTTACTTTCCTAAGCGTCATACATATCTCGCTAATATAATACTTTTTATTTAATGAAATTTAATATACCAGATGCAGAGTGCAAATTAGGGCTTACCTTTATGAAAATTCTACTTTATCTCTTATACGTCCTTTTTGCGCTTTGCTACCAAAATCTCTAAATCTATAGATCATTTTTATCTTACAGTGAGAGACAAAATACAAAATAAAATTAAACCATAATTTAAATTGATCTCATATTTTGGGCCTACGACCTTCATTGTTAATGTCTAGCACAGTCGTTCACTCGTCTATAAATATTATTCTAAGTTCAGAACGAGAGCACTTCCTCTGTTAGCTAAGGTAATAGGAACATTCTGTAAGATTTCCAATTACTGGAAATTACGCACGGCGGAAGACCCGTTATACCGGTCAATGCGGTTCGGATTACTTCACTTCCTACTTCCTGTTCAGAAATTTCTATTCCAAACAGAGGGATATCAAAACAACGAGGAGTGGTCAGCAGTCTGCATCCCTTGGCACTCCACTCCCCCCATCTTTGGTATTAACGTGGGGCACATATGATTTCTCTCACACACGTACACTGACCACTCTCACTTGAACTGCACTGCATTTCGACGCATAACAAAGGGAGGGGAGCCAACATGTCACACAGTTGTTTCTTTTTTAAGCAAGGGTGGGGATATTTTCTTCTCTTTATAAAGTGACTAAATAACGAAGACGTTCCTAACAAACGACTGACAGAGTCAAAGTGAACTGTGTTAAAGGAGATAAACGGACCAGCCGCACAGAATGGCAGCTCTGAAGTTCATAGTGAGTAAATAAATTTAAATAATTTTTAATCCAGATTCATAACATTGTTTTCAGACGGTCTGCAATGTGGGAATTTAGCATAACACATCGAAAGATTATCGGTTAATGATTTAAATTTCTTTGATCTATGAAATTACATCGGAAGTGTCAATTCTTTGTCCGGATTTTTAAAAATAAACTGCATTGAAATTATTTGATATTATAACAATATTCTGAAGAGACATACTTGTGGCAACAAGTGTTATATTACCATCGTGGCCGTTGTGGTGATAACTTTATGCATTGAACGCTTGCAAAGTAGCAAAGCTCTGACGAATATAAAGAGCTCAAAGACTGGAAGAGCGCTGGTCTTCTGGAAAACTATAGCTCGTTACTGTGACCTGTCAACCACGCCAGAAACTGAGCAACCTGCTTGAAAGAAAGACATTTATATTCATGATAAAACGGTGATTTGCACAAAATTAAAGAGATCTTATAAAACTGCTGTGGAAATTGACGAAATAACAATTTTCGCATATGACACTAAATGAACTTAAATAGATAAGGTCGCATTGTGATGTTCGCTTTGTTACATTACTAATGACATTTGGACTAAGTATTAAAATAGTGTCCACGCTATCGTGGAGTGTCGGAGCACGATAATCTCGACTTTAAATGGAGGACAAACCAAATGTTATTGTCACACGAAAAACAACAACATATTTTCGTTTGCCTTCTTCTAGGTTGTAGGATCGTGTAGTTTGGTAGGTATCACCAATATTTTGGAATGATAATACCTATTATCTCTATCTAGAGGGTAGAAATGTAGGTGGAATAGACACTATCCTCAGAAACGTTGCCACCTACAAGACTACAAGGCGTCACAATCCACAAGACGACAACTTACAATTTTATCGCCGTATCAACTGGCACACCTCATACCAGCACGATAAAGCCCTTGACATTTTTAAACCTGTATTTCGTATCAATGCACAACATTCCAACCTGATATACATCTTGTATCGTTTACGCTGAATATGTCTTGTTAAACGGTTTTATGTTGAGGAAGGCACAGGCCTATACACTCTTATAGTTAGCTTATTTCTTGCGTATAAAGTAATAAAAGATAAATTTGTTTTGTTGCAGCTTCTTTGTGCGTTTGTGTTGTTCTCCGTAGCAATAAGCAGCCCGGTTCCAGAGCCAGGAGGCTTTGGCGGAAAACAGTGAGTTCTTATTTGCAATTTAGTGGGTCTCGAGTGGAAACTGGGGCTAAAGTTCTTTGGGTTTCGAAGCAATGTTTTAAATGAACAAAAAACATGCTTCACGTATATTTAAGAAATTGAATATATATATATATATATATATATATATATATATATATGAGTTAATTTCATTTACAAATACAAGTTAATGTAAGACAACAGAATGTGTAATACTTGATTTTTTCGATATATATTCTGTTCCATATATGCACTATTGTTTTGTATCTCATGACAGCTTAAAATTATTATTCCTCTTTTCTCATCCTCTTTTTCCATTTATGTTTAGCTTTGTCAAAATATTCTCCTAAATGTATTACATGAATTATATTTGTACAGTTTGCTATTTTCTTATAAGCTTTCTTCTCACTTATACACAACCATTTCTTATTCATAAATTGCATTCGCCATTTTTTGGTTCCAGCTCTCCAGGAACCAAAAAATGGCTTAACACTTCGTTGACCCTGCATAGGAACATGTTTCCTCTTCTAAACCCTTCCTAATTTCTATTAGTTTCTAAAATCCTACTTTCATTCAAACCAACCCACAACATTTGAAGACCAGTATTGTAAGACCAAGAAATATTATCTCACCAGTGCATAGTTTAACGAGTACGGAAAAAGGTGATGTACCTGATGCAAGACGTTGGTAGCGATAAAGATGAACTGACCCAAGTATGAAGAAAAGTGAACTATTTAACAGATCACCTGCCAAATTTGTAAACAGCAGCCCGCGAAACAGCCTGCATTAAAACCTGCTTATAACAAAATCAAAGAAGATCTGAAATGTCTGCGCCCTCCACACACATTTCAGTTTAAGCTTGTTACTTAGGCAGAATTCTTAAGAAACTAACAGTTCCTGGCCCGGTCAAGGCATCCCCCCTTCCTTGTTGTTGTTGTAAACGAATGGTTCATTACTATGCACACAACAGACCGCAAACTTGTAGAACGCAACAATGAACCAGTAACACATTAGTGCAAGAACATCCTTCGTGATGTGGCCTTGAAGAACGGTTCTGAGATGTTAATTTTCTCTAAAGAGTGCGCTTTTACAATCTTGTTGGAAGCAGTTTTTGGACTGTCACACAATATTCACTGACCCTGAGGAACATGGGATAAAACCAGATTTCCGTTCACACAAGCCTCCGTATTAAGCCGGTTTCACTGTATGTTGCAGCGAACACTACATCGTACACGTGCCTTACGAGGTGCACACGGTCCATCACCACCACGTGAAGAAGGTGCCCGTATACATCAAGAGCCACTACCACCACCATTACGACGGCTGGGACTGAGGAATCTCCCTACATAACAGTAAGTACGTTTATCATAACTGACGCCAGCAATAACCATTTTTATTTACTCGGGTTCGAGTCGGATCACATTCAACGCCCACTGGCTGCGTCACTATCGGGCAAATCCACGCAAGAAACTGCCCCAGGTTTGGCAGTCAGCCTCGTCCTTTGGCAAAAGTATGAAGATACGCCTTGTCTTTATATTCACAGAAGTCCCCCTCCCCCCCAAAAAATCCATTCCGCGAGCCAGTTTAATACAATCCACAACTTAGTACCCTAATTCTCTGATAACCGTTTTAACGTGATAAGCCTTTAGGTTCTCATGAAGATGACTCGCCTTCTCGGATGTTGCATCATGTATTGGGGTGCTTTCTGCCTCCATCATCAAGCACCATTGAAACGTCAGTCAATTTCTGTAAGAATATATAATCTCCATTTTAATAATATACTCCCATTTGCGATTAGATCTTCCGAAGAGTTCCTTCCTTTGTTTTCTGGTGATCAGAATGTGCTTTATTTCCTGAATGCTTTCTACATGTCCCTCCCAACCCATCATTCCATGTTTAATTACCCAAACAATATTACGCGCTGTGTACAAAGCGAAACTAATGTACCTATTATTTGTTGCAGGTTGTTTGTTATCTTCCTAACATCGCCACATTGCTGTCTGCTTTTCTTCGCCACTCACCTCAATTCACCCATTATTTTTGTATGATTACCTTTGTCTGTTATAAATTAATAAAAACTTATTAAAAATCTGACGTTTCATGCAAAAAAATTACTTAGTTCACACGACACGTAATTTGCGTTCGGAAAATTAGTTTTTATAATCCCAGTCCGGATCCTGTTAGCCTTGGTTTAATCAACATTCCAATAGACTGTAGGCCAGAAACTGTTCCAGGGCAATCGCTCTGTTGATGGAGGTAGCAAGTACAGTCCATGACTGTAATCTTGATACTTGCGGGGTGAGGAAGTGGGGTGAAGGAGGACGGATTAAAGATAGCGTCTGCCTTTAGCGCTACGGATTTCCTGCATTCTTTGCAAGTCTCAAGATTACAGTCGTGGACTGTATCTCTGAAGCATCGGTAAATTTCTGCCAGAGCAGACAGCCATCTTCATACCCGTCGCCGTGAGAACCTGAGTTCTCACCCGGTTAAAGAATGTTTATCTTATTTGATACTATTTATTTTAACTAAACGATTCAACTCATTTATGCATGTAAAGTTGTGCACCCAAATGAAGGAACAGATGACACCCCCCCCCCCATAAGTGTGTTTACACAGGCTTGTAGGCTACTTCCCACGAATGTTAACTGAATTGCAAACATGACTGAAAGTAAGGATTAACTACGAGTTCGTAATTTATTTTCCCATAAACTTAATCGTCGTATGGAACACATCACATGAAGTTCAGTTCAAATTCTGATAAATTGAATCCGGTCAGGTTTTCTTATTCTCAGCATCAGCAGCAATAACACAGATTAAGCTTCTTCGTTTTCCAGTTACAAAGATTAAAACTGTTACTTCCATTTCTATATCAAATGCCCTGACATATTACACCCTCGGTTTTACATTGATACAGAAGCTTCAGTATCGATATTCATTCTTCCCAAATAGTACAGCTAATTCTCTTGACTGTTTCCTTTATTGGTTTATTAATGTTTTCCCCATTTCTTGTCAAATATCTTGACTACTTTATTGTCCTTCAACCTCTACAGAGCGACCGTTATTATGAAACACATTTGTGTTGCTTGCTTTCTTCTCACTTCTTTCGCTAACGTAAAACATTCTGATTCATATAAAAGCATAAGTAGACTAGATATTACTTTAGCCCAGCTCAGGTAATCTAAATCTATACTGCCACAGTTGGTAACAATGCGGTTGTAGATGGAAGCCGAATGGAATGCTGAGGATGGCGATTCTGTACAGTGTGACATTGGACGGTCAATGAGTGAGGTTGTAGAGACGGAGAAGCCGCGCCCCTGTATCCGATTTTACAGTATTTTATAGCTGGAAACTCTGATTATTTCAGTCATAGGTGGCATTTAGATACTCCTATTATAAACAATGAATAATTCCCTATTTGTGATGTGATGAGTCTTCTACTCTATATATATTTATGTTTGTCACCATTAAATTATACGTTATGCTAGGCCTACACTGCAAATGATTTACAGCTGAATCATACCACGTTCATTACATGACAAATAAAAAATTAATAAATTCGTTGTATTCGCAATGAATCAATATCAAATCGTAGAAGAAAGTGCATATGCAAACAACGCATCAGAGAACACCGTAAAATCATTTGGAGTACATCTTTAGAGTTCTGTTAATTATTAATTACAAGACTAAACTTAATATCCTTTCCATCGTCTTGATTTTATATACCCACTCGTCCTAAAAACAACAAATAACTTATGTTTGTGTTATATCAAAACTTCAAGTTCTTTCCCGATAATGAACTCAGGTGAAATCAACCAAATCTACTTCGAAATGGAGAAACTTTGCGGTTTTCAACTTGAGTAGTCCGGAAGAGCACACTATTTAGAGAGTGAAATTAGACTGAGGGTCGTGATTTGCTTCATTTTGCGTGAGAACGGAACACAGTTCAGACAGCGATTCGTAACATCCGGGAAACAGCAATATTGGACTTCCACTGGCATCGGCATGGTTCCCTCATGCAAGGTAAGCAGGTGCTGTGCTTTGCGTTGTTTAAACATCTCTTCGCGATTGTCAAAATTCTGCTCTCAGCCACTCAAAATCATTCATTAATTTCACGCATTTTCTTATAAGGCTTATGAAGACGGTGGCGAACGTTGATTCTTAGTTTATTAAATATCTTAATTTCTTATTTCAAATGTATATATTATAGATTATTCGTCATATGGTAGGATGATGATAAACTATGGCAGAAAACTCTAGCACCAATTTAAGGTAGGCATACTTTTTCAGAATTTGGCTCCAATTACTGGGTAATACAAAAAATAACAGCAGTATGGTCGGACACCAGGCAGAGAATCTAATACGAAGTAAATAATGGTGGACAAATTCTAACAATAAAATAAGCGATGGGCCTACATGTAGCACGCACAGAACTGAGAAACGGAGCATTTAATTATAAAACCTGGGCGAAGAAGAAAACTTGGGAAACGCAGACACGGACGGACGGACGGAAGAATGAAAATTTTAAAGCAAATCATATACAGGTGGCGCACGAAATGTCATACCATTTGTTTTACGTATAATACATTTTGCCCATTTTTCTTCGATGAAACCGTTAACAAAGATCGATACAAAGACCTGTTGGAAAACAGTTTTATCCCTCATCTCTTGGCAACAGGTCTCCCTATGCAAACACAGTGGTTCATGCAGGATGGAGCCCGTCCACACACTGCGAACGTGGTTCTTGATTTCCTGCACAAGACGTTTAATCTTCGTGTGATGTCGCATCAGTTTCCTGAACGTCATGAGAGCGGCAAAATGTGGCCGCCTCATAGCCTGGACATTAATCCGTGTGATTTCTTCTTGTGGGGTTTCTTCAAAGAGAAAGTGTACCAAAGGAGGCCAGAAAATGTAGTGCAGCTCAGAGTCCTCATAGTGCAGTTGTGCCGTGCGCTATTTGAAGACTTGTGTCGAAAAGTGGTGACGAACACAAGGGTTCGTTTGCAAGAGGTTGTGAGGAAAAACGGCGGTCATATTGAACACGTTATTCATTAGGAACAATTTTTCAGGCTATAGTGATTAATTCTATACCAGTTTTGTACTACTTTTATAAAAATAAAAATGTGTTATATGTAAAACAAATGGTATGACATTTCGTGCGCCATCCTGTAACAGGGAATGCAGAAGTGAAACTGAGTCATTTAAATCCTTTGGTGTGGCAGCATTGACTGGATTCAACTAGCTGAGAATATACAGTGGCAGGCTCTTGTAAACGGTTCTATATATTTCGAAACTCAAGTGACACGAATTATGAACTTGATCAAAAACCTACTCAGATGCTTACTATACTTTTCATTGACCGCCTTTCGGTTCGTAAGCTATGTTACAAAGAAATATTATACATTTCATATATACACTACCAGTATGTACAAATGTCAGCAACATTATAGCTACAGCATGTTTCAAATCAACATCTGACCACCACCAGGTGACAAACTCTTATATGACAGAAAGTTGACAAATTAATTGTGTGACATATATTTTATTAAGTAAGTGACTTTCCTTGTCTTTGCAGTTTCTGGGTGCAGCGCTTATAGTGATGTTAGTGCTGTCTGCAGTGGCGTGTGTGAAACGGTAAGACCCTGTCCAAATTACTGAAGCGCAGACCTCGTAGTATGGATGGAATTCAAATTACCATAAACCGTTATCTGGCAATATAGCCGAAATATTTTACGTCCAGAGCAGGCCTGTGCTCACGAATGACAGCTGCTGCTTAAACTTTGATTACGTCACAAGCACAAACGAACGCCTTGTCAACCTGCGATATAGGTTAAATAACACCACGAGTATGGCGCAAGTCTCCACGGCCCCAAGACTCGGCGGCACGAGCCGACCTGAGGACCGGGTGTGGGCCAGATATAAAAGATAATGTTCGGTTAATGTTAAAATGATAGCAATGAGCATTTTGGGCTTTCTGGGCTGTTCTTTCTTACGTAAAACAAAGTTATTTGTAGCTGCCCTCACCTCATGCTCGTGACACACTCGGGCTCCAGAAATAAATCTCACCGACTTGATTTTCCAAGGATTTTTGCAGCTGGCTACCCCAAAAACAGTCAGAGACAACACCTTACAAATCTGGCATCCGAAATCTTTTTTCCTTACCTCAAATGCCAAAATAACATTTTTAAAAATTACGGGCACTTGTGAATTAAAGATGCATTAGTGACACTATACTCAGGGCAGATTGTAAATAGAGCGGGCTTAATTCCGACTGGAAAGAAGGTAAATCGAGCTTAAGTTGGATAAGAGCAAAATATTTCAAAATAAACATAGGGATCGAGTCAAATGTTCCTCGGGGTAGGCCGTTAAAATTATAAAATTCTGGCCCATGCTAAATTCTAGAGCAAGCGAATGCTTAAAATTATATAAAGCCACAAAAGCGAATGAGTTGGTAGTATTACCAATGAAATATTATTGTTTAACGAATCACTTCTATACAACCTGTGGCAAATCCCTAGACACATATCTTGTTTCAGTGTTATTCCACCAATGACAAAGCTGAAGTTGTGTTATTTGGTATGTATTTATTATTCCAGTCTATACACAAACTTAATTTAAAAATGCTGTTGTTAAAATTATAGCGCTTTTCATCGTATTACGATGTTACATTTATTCGGCGCTTATTATTAACGACATGTTTCGATGCTATTATTGCATCATCTTCAGGTTTTTATCGTTATTTATATCTTTTTTAAATTAAGTTTGTGTATAGACTGGAATAATAAATACATACTTAGTTCAACACAAACATGACGCATCTAAGCTACAAAATGTGTTATTTGGTTCACCTATGTTGCAGGCGCATTATAATTCATGTTCCACATCGGGTGAAACACATTCATCACCACCATGTGGTGAAGGTAAAGCCAAAACCACATTACCATCATTACTACAGCCACCATGATTCACACGGGCACCATTATCACCATCACCACGACGGACATAATCACCACCATCATCACCATGGCGATGATGACGACTAGCCGCTCCAGAAGAACTTTATTTATACGAAAATGTAATTATTATTGCTGTATACAAGACTTACAACCATTTCAACATACCTAACAGAAAATGTATTCTCATATTGTTAAGACAATAAAATGTTAAAGGCTATGATGGACTATGCGTGCAGATAGAACTGCAGAGGCAGAAATAACAGAATTTTGGTGGGTAACTCTGGAAAATATGTTTGTAAGACCGATTGGGTGGAGAGGTTCACAAGGATGGATTAGAATTAGAAGGGCTGTGGTGGATAGAACTGGTTCAGAATTGTGTCCAAATACGAGCTGTGATATTAGAGGTGTCGAACCTTTCTGTTCTCCTGCCACAGTATTGGTGTTGCTCAGTTGTTATTCTTTTCGTCTGTACTTAGACTGACTGTAGTGGGGTTGGTGGAAATGGAATTCACTTTGCAATTACCATGTAATCAAATTATTTTTAGTACTAGTTGTTTCTAAAACTCGCAAGTTGAATCTTTACTCAATCAGTTCTAAACAAATGCCGATCACTGATTTAAGATAGTCATTTAGTGTGGCTACTGTGTCACAAAGCAGCCTGCTTTATTTTTAATGTCTGGGAGCAATTTGTAATAATTAATCACACAAGAAAGAACCTTCCAAGGTCTGTGGAAACGTGTCCCCGTTTTTTTGAAATGCATAACCGCATTCCTCTTAACATGGAAACTAAACATTTACCTTGAAAAACCAGTAAGTAACTCATGTGATTTATGTTCTATAAATGCTGCATGCAGTGCAGTCCTAACAAATACGCTCAACTCAATGTTAGGTTATAATCAGAAGAAAATGTGTGACAGGAATCTGGTACTGCAAACAATAAACCTTTTTAAAGAAACGAACTGGATTTAATTACATTCCACAGATCCTTTACAGCAACTCAGCTAATCACGCAAAACATCTCATGAAAATGAAATTATCAACAACAATAAAAATTAAAATTAAATTATTTGGTTATTCCGTCAAATCACAATGTATTTAAAATAAGATAATTAAAATAATTGAAATATCATTCTGTGTTCCATATAGAATAATCGATTTACAATTGGAACAGTTAAAACATGTTTCGCTTTTATTAAACCATCATCAGGTGTAAAATTATATTGAATTTAAAACTCAATTACAATTTTTTATAATTTTTCGTAGTGTAGTTTTGGAGGTCGTGTCCAGATATTTTCATATAATGGATCAACTTTATTGTTTGAAGTGATGCTTTTGATGTTTACATCGGTCTGTGAAGTAAATGATTCAAAGAAACATTAATTTGACGGAATAACCAAATAATTTAATTTTAATTTAATAAATCACAATATGACGCAACTACACTATTTTATGAACAATAAAAATATAAATAAATAAATATGTATTTATTACAACTAATATTAGGAGGTTTCTTTATAAAATTACGAAGTTTCTGCTATCCTCATCGGGTAAAAGGAAAGAATACGGCAGGAAACCTATTTGCTTGGCTTCCAAACTGAGGTATCCTTTGATCTGGACAGCAAGAGCCTTGGAATTATTGGCACAACACAGAAACAGAAGTCGACAAAAGTCGGCGACGATAGTCCCAATCAAAAAATTAAAAATTTGCTAGAAAAACCAAGTTGCAAAATACTGTGGTACAGCTTGCCGACGTCACGGTTCATTGGAATCGAAGTGAGAAAACGATTTAGGCTCGATTGACTAAATGGACTCACGGAATACGCCATATTTCTTATTCCTTTATAATTGTTGCTTACTTTTAAATAACGTTATTTTACACATAACCTGAGAAACTATAAAGATGAACTCCATATTTTGGATAATAACTGGAAAAGACTAGAGATACCAATTTGGAATAGTGGAGCAATTTTTACCCTGAATTAAGAGAAAGAAGAGTTCATAAAATAGACATTAAAAGGTGAATAATAATAAACTCGTTCACTGTTAATGAAAAATATGCGTCAGTCGGCTGTGTTAGTAATTAACATCTCTCTCAGTAAGCGCTTAGTCATTTGTATAATATTTCACCCCATTTATAAACTTGTCATTCATAATGAATTTCAGTACAAGGTTCATAACGACCGGGGTTCGATCCCCGACGGGGGTAGAGGATTTTTCCTCTAGCCTCTGCGTCCAGACCGGCTCTGGGGCCCACCCAGCCTCTT